TTTTTTATAACATCAAGCCTCACAGCAACTCGTTATACTTTAAAATAGCATTTAAATACGCAAAATTTCTCAAGACACGATTAGAATGCAGTTACTTGTTAAATTGTTTGTAAGTCTTGCACCGTTTAATTGATTTAAATGCACTTTGTGACAAACTTGTACTAAATTAAATTATATATAACTTGTTCGAATAACATTAGACACTATTGCAACTCGGTATACTCTAAATCGTGTTGCAAACTTTAATACTATAATTGTCGATTTATTTGCACATGCACATCTTATGTCTTCTGTAACTTCTAAACTATTTGTGTAATTAAAATACAATGTTAAGAAAATTTGTAGGATATCAAATAGTCAAATAAATAATTGAATCATTTATTGAGTTATAATTTTTTTTACTTACCTTTTAAGCATGTAAATAAAATTAAAAAGACAATTCAGCACAGACATCAGCAAATCTGCCAGGCTCAAATTTACTAGAAAATAATTTGTTACTGTCCTCATTCGTCTGTGAGCTGAAAAAATAGAAAAAAATTGAAAAATATAATTAAAAAATTAAAGAAAAAAATTAAAAACACTTTTATATAAATAAATACATATAAATGTAATATATTATATATTGAAAAAGTGTAAACTAATTTTAGATTTATTAAGAACTTGAAAAAAACATGATTTTTTAACCAACTTTAATTTTATTATTTTTATTAAAAAGTTGGTAAATAAATTTATGAATTTCATAAATAGCTTATTTTAATTTAAACAATATTTTTTAAATATAATTTTTATAACAAAAAAATATTTTTTATGCATTTTGTTAAGAAATTTTTGGCTAAGAAAAATATTTTCCAACTTGCATGAGAATTTGATTTAAACAATTATATTATTTGTTTTCTATTATTATTTTTTTTATATTTAAAAAGTAGGTCGATCTTCAGACAAATATTATCATAATAGTCTAAAGAAAAAGATTTTCTTAATTTTTTTTTTACATAAGATTTTCATTTTCATTTGTCTTAATGCGAAAAATTACTTCAAGTCTATTTAACAGGCGAAAACGCTTTTATATTCATTTTTGGACTATTAAGCAATTATCTAATTAGATAAAAGATAAAATCATACGAAAAAAAATATGCAAATACTTAATGTCTATAATTATATATAAACTTAATATCTAATATTAATTATTAATAATAAAAAAATTATTACTCTTAAATTTTGCACCAGCAGTTTTTTATGTGTAGAAGTTTTGTATGAAAGTTAATACGGTTTTAAAAAGTTTGTTTAATTTTAAAGTTGTGCCAACTCGTAGAAAAATTGCTTTAACGTATAAAAATATTTTGACCTTAATAGTAGCTAAAAACTGCTCTACTGATCTCAACAAAAAATAGTTTTCGCGAGTCAACTCTTTGCACGCTTTTAAAAATGGTAAAAACGCTTAATGCCTTTTGTCACAATTATGTAAATAATTCAAAAATGGCTTGACTGATATAAACAAAATTTTTATCAGCACAAGTCGACATTCGTACGTATCGAATGGATTTTAAATTTTTAAAATCGGAGCACGTGTTCAAAATTTATACACCCCGAAACCCAAAAAGTACAATACAGTCCATAGTTGCACGCTTTCAAAACCCAAAATGTTAAACACGCCTGGTGCCTTTTGTCACTATTATGCAAATAGCTTAGAAACGGCTTGACTGATCTAAACACAAATTTTATCATTACAAGTCAACATTCATACGAATCGAATGGTTTCAAAATTTTTAAAATCGGAACACGCGATCGGAATTTATACTCCTCCAAACCCAAAAAATTACAATACAGTCTTATTCATCATTGCACGCTTTCAAAAATGTTAAACACGCCCAGTGCCTTTTGTTTTTATTATGCATAAAACTTAAAAACGGCTTGACTGATCTGAACACAAATTTTATCAGCACAAGTCAACACTCATACGTATCGAATGATGTTTAAATTTTTAAAATCGGAGTACGGGTTCAAAATTTATACACCCCGAAACCCAAAAAGTACAATACAGTCCATAGTTGCACGCTTTCAAAACCCAAAATGTTAAACACGCCTGGTGCCTTTTGTCACTATTATGCAAATAACTTAGAAACGGCTTGACTGATCTGAACACAAATTTTATCAGCACAAGTCAACATTCATACGTATCGAATGGTTTTTAAATTTTTAAAATCGGAACACGCGATCGGAATTTATACTCCTCCAAACCCAAAAAATTACAATACAGTCTTATTCATCATTGCACGCTTTCAAAAATGTTAAACACGCTCAGTGCCTTTTGTTTTTATTATGCATAAAACTTAAAAACGGCTTGACTGATCTGAACACAAATTTTATCAGCACAAGTCAACACTCATACGTATCGAATGATGTTTAAATTTTTAAAATCGGAGTACGGGTTCAAAATTTATACACCCCGAAACCCAAAAAGTACAATACAGTCCATAGTTGCACGCTTTCAAAACCCAAAATGTTAAACACGCCTGGTGCCTTTTGTCACTATTATGCAAATAACTTAGAAACGGCTTGACTGATCTGAACACAAATTTTATCAGCACAAGTCAACATTCATACGTATCGAATGGTTTTTAAATTTTTAAAATCGGAGTACGGGTTCAAAATTTATACTTCCCCAAACCCAAAAAGTACAAAACAGTCATCGTTGCTCGCTTTCAAAAATGTTAAACACGCCCTGTGCCTTTTGTCACTATTATGCAAATAATTTAAAAACGGCTTGATTGATCTGAACAAAAAATTTATCAGCACAAGTCAACATTCATACATATCGAATGGTTTTTAAATTTTTAAAATCGGAGCACCCGTTTGATATTTATACTACCCCAAACCCAAAAAGTACAATACAGTCTATTTATCGTTGCGCTTTCAAAATGTTAAACACTCCCAGTGCTTTTTGTCACTATTATGCAAATTATTTAGAAACGGCTCGACCGATCTGCACAAAAATTCAATCAGCACATGGCCACATTCATACGTATCGAATGGTGTTTAAATTTTTAAAATCCATGCACGCGTTGAAAATTTATACTCGCCCAAACCCAAAAAATACCACATAGTCTATTTACTATAATTTCTTAGAAACGGTTCGGCAGATCTCAACAAAAATTTGCATCCCATTACTCAACACCCACATGTATGAAATGGCATCAAAATTTTTCCAAAATTTTTGGTTTCTCACCTATAACTATCCACATAACTATGGCGTTTCCTCCGACTGCTATAAAAAGCATGAAACCAAAGGCCGAACTCCAGGCTGCTTGGGCCGAATTCGACATGGCCCAAGGTGGAGGGCCAATGGCCACATCTGTATTTGTGGCAGAAATGTCTAAAAAATCCTTAGACAGGTTGTAGACATCTGGGTAAAACTGAAAAAAAAAAATAGAAAAATAGTACATGAATAAAAGTGAAAAAATATGTTTTGGTAGCTAAGTTGTTGTAGGTCTTTTCGATATAAGAAGCTATTATTGGCTGTTCTATTGACTACAAATTTTCCATTTTTACATCATTAATATTAAATGCCTTACTCACATTTTTTTCTTTTTTATTATAATTTCAATAAATTTACAAAACAATTAAATATGTACAGCAAACCCAAAGAATTAAAACAAGTATTCATGATTTTCCGTTTAATTTATTGTAACTATTTTGAATTCAAACAAAAGAGTCAAATATGAATAGAGAACATACATAAATGCCATAAAAGCTTATTTATCAATTTTATCAATTCATCAAACCGATGTTATCTTAGTTCAACCTAAAAAGTTCGTTATTTTATTTTAAATTTTAAAAATTACTAAAAGCCAAAAAAAATATTACTGAAGAGTTTTATAACCTTAGTAATGTTGTCAGAAATTATTCCATGTTTCTCTCTTTTTATTAAAATGAATAAAAATATGATACTGCATATAATTGAATTGCTATACCTAAAATGATTTACGATTTTATACATAAATGCACTTCAACAAAGTATGTATGATTACATTTTACTCTTCGACGTCGATTTTATAGTGTACCTTATTGTTACTAAAGAATGAAATATCGAACTGAAAGTCGTTTTATTCAAAACTTTTATATCGGATTGTATAAAAGTGTTCTCTAGAAAATGTTGCAAATTTTATCTAGTTTCACCCTATCTAACTGAAAGGGGGTAGTTTCATATGAAATTTTTGAGTTGTTTGACAAAAACCAAAAAAAATCCCAAACTTCCTGTATTTATCCAGAATTTTCTATTTATTGCTTATGAATGAAATACCGAATTCAAAGTCGTTTTATGCAAAACTTTTATATCGGAGTGTGTAAAAGTGTTCCCTAAAAAATTTAAGATTACATTTTACTTTTCCACGTCGATTTTATAGTGTACCGAGTTGTTTTAGAAACTTATGATGAGAAAGAAAATTGTAGACTGTTCGATTTTGCATAAATCTTCCAAATACATCATTCAATTTAATCGAATGGTTTACGAGTTACTAAATTCATACTAATCGATTTATTTACATCTTAAAAAGGATTTATTAAACGAAGGGCTTCAACATTTTTTTTTTAAATTTTCTTGAACAAATTTCATTTTATGTTTAATTTTATAGGCAAAATTCTATAATATTAAAAAGCATAATAGTAAAAATTTGAAATAATTAATAATAAAGTGATAAATTGTGATATTAAAAAAACAGTAAAACAGTAATATCAAATAATAAAGTACCAAATAGCAAAAAGTTAACAACGCTTAAATAGTACCTACTTAGAATTATTTCAAAATAGTAAAATATACATAATACTAAAATAATATGTAAAATCAGTATTATAAAATAGTAAAATAGTATGTATAAAAAAGTATTATCAAAAAGTTGTAAAATAGCAAAATTATCAAATTATTAAATTATCAAATAGTAAAATAGTATGGTAATAGTAAAAAGTTACTAATATTATAATAGATAAACTTTAAATAGCAAAAAAGTTAATAGTAAATACAGTGAGTCAAAATAGTAAAACTTAACGTTAATAATAATATTACAGAATAATAAATTAATAGAAAACTTAAATAAATATTTTATATAAACAAATAGTCAAATACTAAAATTTATTAAATAATGAAGAGCCAAATTAGAAAATAGTAAAATATTTAAAATAATAAATAAAATATGATAATGGGTTAATGTAAATAGTATAAGAATTTTACATGAATAGCATATAATAATAAAAAAGTAAAATAATATAATAAATATATAATAATACAAAATAGTAATTTAAAATTATTTATAAAAATGTATAAAAAAGTAGTCAAATAATAACATACTAAAATTGTAAATAGTAAATACTTACATTATAAATAGTTATTAGTAAAATAATTTAGAAGTAATATTATTGAATAGTAAAAATAATATTAAAAAATAGTAAAATAGTAAAGTATAGAAAAAAGTAGTATGTCTAAATAGTAGTATAATAAAAGTAAAATGTAAGTGAAAAAGTAAAATAATAAATAGTAAAATAGAAAATATTAAAATAATATAAAGCAGTATTGTAAATAGTAAAATTTTTTTTTTTTTTTTTTTTTTTTTATATTTGAACAGCGATCAGAACTTATGGGTTCTATGAGCTGTTGTGATGAATCTCTTACAAACAACGTTTGTTTTTTATTATAGATGGCAACCCAAACAGTTGTCTCATCTCTATGTGCTGAATTTTTATTATTACAATTGTTGTAATAGTGATGACTTTACTTCCAAGTGGCATGTTGCTACTACAGCTATGCCCACGAAAGGCCATTTTCACTTGAAATCATATTTGAAATCAAATAGTAAAATAGTAATATTAAATTATTATTATATTACATTATAGTAAAATTGTAAATAATAAAACAAAATGGAATCGTATAATAATGAAAAATTTATATTAAAAATAGGAAAGATTTAATATACATAATGTATATATATTTTTATTTTAATTTTACAATTATCAAAAATTCATATAATCGACGTTTATCAATTTGTGTTTTATAGTTTTTTCGTGCAATTTTCGTGTGTTTTTGTGTTTTTTTTTTCAATTTATTTGTATGGTGAGTTCTTTATATTTGTTTATGTCTATTTTTGTATTATCACTTTTATACACTTTAACTATATATTTTTTATAAAACAAATTTATTAGATTGATTAGATTTATGTTTTTTTACATGTTTTTATTTATATTTTTCTGTAATTGTGTATTTTTTATATTGTTTTAAACTGTAACCCTGAAATTTATTGTAGCACTAAAGATGGGTCAAATCAAGACCAGAAACGTATGTTTTTATAATAAAAACATTTTTCTTCAATAAAACTGTTTATAATTACTGGATGGATGCCCAAGAAGAACTTTATCATAAATATATATATATATATATATATATATATATATTAGGGTGGTCCTTAAAATGGTCATTTTCGAATTTCCTTGCTCCCAGGGGCTCAAATAGTTCCAAATAGATAAAAAACAATTCTCTGAAAGTTTTAGCTCTTAATATTAACGTTTAGATAGAGCGCAATTCAATCAAAGTTTGTATGAGAAGAGCATGGAAAAAATTTTCAAAATTAAAAAAAAATGTTTTAGGTATAACTTAGCGACAAATGAATGAGTTTTATTTATTCATTAGTTCGCTAAATTACATCTAAAAACCATTTTTAAAATTTTTGAAAATTTTTCCATGCTATTTCCATACAAAACTTTGATTGAATTGCGCTCTATCTAAACGTTAATATTAAGAGCTAAAACTTTCAGAGAATTGTTTTTTATCAATTTGGAACCATTTGAGCCCCTGGGAGCAAGGAAATTCGAAAATGACCATTTTAAGGACCACCCTAATATATATATATATATATATATATATATATATATTAAATTAAATAATAAAAAGGTCATTCCATAAAATGAAAAATTATTATCAATCCGTAGAAAATCCAATTATTTTTTACGATATATAAATATAAAATTATATATATATATATATATATATATATATATATATATATATATATATATATATACACGTATATGTGTGTGTGTGAGTGTGTGAAAAGAAAATCTTCGATATATAATTTATATTTATGTTTTCTTTTATATCCTAAGAAATGGACAGCATTTTAAAAGGAATCCATAAATTTATTTATATACATTTATATATATATATATATATATATATATATATATATATACAATAAACGATTCCAAAAACCGCGAATTTAAATAATTTATTATTCTAATTCTCAATTTATTTTAAAAACAAAACTAACGATGACACACCGATATAAGATTACAAATGATATACAAACGTAAAAATAGAAAAGAAAAATCAGTTAGAAAAATTAATTCTTAATTTTGGTGCCTAAAATATTCACAATGAAAAATCTGATAATCGACATAAATTATTTAGTTAAAGTACAACTTTATTTTAATTAAGTGTTTAATTATCAAGTAAATAGGTCCTGAAGAAGTGTACATCCCATATGCCAAATCGTAGAAAATATTTATAAGTAACAAAGTTGATAAATATTTTTTATTTCCTTGTTTAATATTCACATAATACATACTTTATTTTAATTTAAATGAAATCTGCCATCTGTCAAAATTATTGTATTTTATTTTAAGACCAATCGAATTTCAGTGGTTTTTCTCCTTCTGTACCATCTTTAAATCCTTTTGGACACCACAAAATATTTTATCGAAATTGAACTAGCCATTCAATGCAAAAAAAAACATACAAATTACTATTATAATCAAAACATATTATACATTCCTCTTACTAAAGATTTACATAAGGATTACACTCGAAATTACCCTTTTCGGGAATCCCAAAAAATTAATTGCGCCCGCCGTTATGGAAATGATAATTTCATATTTCCTAAAATGGGAAAGGGTCCCAAAAGGTTTGCAAAGGTGAGACCCTTGTCTTGATATTGTGTTACAGGCGACAATAATAGTCGAACACTTTGCCTTTGGGAGATATTTATGCCCTTAATTGGGACATCTTTGCCGGTGGAGCAAAGGATTATGTTACGCGGGGTAATAGAGTTTTGTCATATATATATATATATATATATATATATATATATATATATATATATATATCTATATATATATATAAATCTTGTGTCACGATGTTGGTTCGCGATCGACGCCCAAACTACTGAACCGATTTTAAATTTTATTGGCTCATCGTGTGCATATATATCCAACTTAGGTTATAGGAAATTTTGAAAAGTAAATTTAAAATATAAATATATAATTTTTATGAATTTCTAAAAATTTTGACAAAAAATGACTAAGAAAAAC